ACACCCCTCCCTCCTGCTCCGAGCAGGGCTCCACGTTCTCCAGAGCTGCTCCCCTTGGAGCTTCTGGCCTCCGGCTGGCACGGATCCTGGACTGCACCCTCTGCCCTGCCCTCTTGCCCTCTGCCCCGTGTCTGGAAGGGGTGCCCTGTGGACCTCAGGCCCCTCCCAGTCCTCTGGGGCCACCTGGCCCTGGAAGAGGAAGAAGCGGCCGGGCTCCGGTGGGTGGAGTGCCAGACCGAGAGAGAGAGAGAGAGACCGAGAGAGAAGAGAGAGGGAGGGGAGCCCGAGAGATCTGAGCCAACCGCCTCGCTCACCATGTGCACCGGCAAGTGTTCCCGCCTGGTGGGCCTCGTCCTGGTGGCCGCGGCCCTGGCCTGCATCACCGCCAACATCCTCCTCTTCTTCCCCAACGGCGAGGGGAAATGGACGCCGGGTCACATCACCACGCAGGCCTGGCTCATGGGGGGCGTCATCGGCGGAGGGCTGATGGTGAGGTGGCCCGGGTGGGGCGGGTGGGCCTTTCCCTCCCCTCCCCCCCCTGGGGGGTGGTGGTCCCTGGGGGCAGGATGGGGACCACCAAAGGGTGGCTCGCTTACTGGAGCTTGGAAAGCCAAGAGGCCAGAGGGGGAGCGAAACGCTCCGGGCTGATGGTGGGGCAACACCTCCACGGGAGGATCTCTTCTTGGGGCAGGGGAGGGGGGTCTTGGGGGGAGGGAGAGAGACCCCTGCCTCAGCGGCCTCCAGGCCCTTTGCAAGCAGAGAGCCCGAGGGGGTGTGACTCTGCCCCCCCCCCCTCGGCAAGAAGGGCTGCGGGACCGGTTCCTGCCAAGCTCAGCTTTGCTCCTGGACTTTGACCCGGGCGCTGCCCTCAGTGCCAGCTGGTGACACTCGCGGGACGAGGGGAGGGGGAAGGGGGGGTGTTGGGCTCCCAGGCTTCTGCCTTCCCCGAGGGGGGCGTCCTGGGGCATCTCCGAGCTGGGTCCCTTTCTCCTCCACAGGTCCTCTGCAGCGGCTCCTCCACCGTGAAGGCCGGCGGGAAGGGGTGTTGCGGCTACGGATGCTGTGGGAACCGCTGCCGGG